AACCACTTCAAACTGTCGTGCAGTTTTCAAAGCATCAGTGGTTCTTATGTAAACGGGTGTCTACGAGATGTGTAGGTGTGACGGGGTCGATCTTCAATGAGCAAATCGTTAGCTACCGTTGTGCCAGTTTCAGCATTTATAGTTTATTATGTTACAAGCATTTCTCAACGGCACGAACAGCGAACTCTTTTAAGATGGTAAAAAGAAACACAAAAAGAAAACACTGGTGAAAGACATGGGTGGTGGGGCTTTCAAATAATAATGTACCGAATAGCAAATTTAAAAATATGGGAATATTAGAGTAACATGCATAGCATGAAAGCACCTACAAACTTTCAGGGGCGGGGGGGGGGGGAGGTGTGGGCGAGGCCTAAGCCCCCTCCTCCCACACCCAAGCCTCTAGCATTCTTCTCTCTGAATACATAAATACATTGTGAGTATTTGCCGACACTCATAGGGTCCATAATATGAATAAACAATATAAAACATGTTAAAGTCTATGCCGTGTGGCATCGGTAGTCATGTCTATCCACAACCTTCTGTCTCGTGTGCTTTCAGTCAACTCTGACACAGATTATCTTTCCTGCCATGATGTATAACTGCCCAGCACCTTCTGACTCAAACTCCCTCTGCCTCTCCTTCCTGTACCCCTGTTTTCTACTTTTCAGGACATTACCAAAGAACGTAGATTGTCTCTTTCTAATGTGGGCAATCAGTTCCTCCTAGTAAGTCGGTTTCTTTGAAGACATTTTTCATTACTCTTTGTATCTTCTTCTTCTTCTTCTTCTTCTTCTACTTCTTCTTGTTCTTCTTCTTCTTCCTCTTCTTCTTCTTCTTCCTCTTCTTCTTCTTCTTCTTCTTCTTCTTCTTCTTCTTCTTCTTCTTCTTCTTCTCTACTTCTTCTTCTTCTTCTTCTTCTTCTCTCTTCTTCTTCTTCTTCTTCTTCTTCTTCTTCTTCTTCTTCTTCTTCTTCTTCTTCTTCTTCTTCTTCTTCTTCTTCTCTTCTTCTTCTTGTTCTTCTTCTTCTTCTTCTTCTTCTTCTTCTTCTTCTTCTTCTTCTTCTTCTTCTTCTTCTTCTTCTTCTTCTTCTTCTTCTTCTTCTTCTTCTTCTTCTTCTTCTTCTTCTTCTTCTTCTTCTTCTTCTTCTTCTTCTTCTTCTTCTTCTTCTTCTTCTTCTTCTTCTTCTTCTTCTTCTTCTTCTTCTTCTTCTTCTTCTTTCTTCTTCTTCTTCTTCTTCTTCTTCTTCTTCTTCTTTCTTCTTCTTCTTCTTCTTCTTCTTCTTCTTCTTTCTTCTTCTTCTTCTTCTTCTTCTTCTTCTTCTTCTTCTTCTTCTTCTTCTTCTTCTTCTTCTTCTTCTTCTTCTTCTTCTCTTCTTCTTCTTCTTCTTCTTCTTCTTCTTCTTCTTCTTCTTCTTCTTCTTCTTCTTCTTCTTCTTTCTTCTTCTTCTTCTTCTTCTTCTTCTTCTTCTTCTTCTTCTTCTTCTTCTTCTTCTTCTTTCTTCTTCTTCTTCTTCTTCTTCTTCTTCTTCTTCTTCTTCTTCTTCTTCTTCTTCTTCTTCTTCTTCTTCTTCTTCTTCTTCTTCTTCTTCTTCCTTCTTCTTCTTCTTCTTCTTCTCTTCTTCTTCTTCTTCTTCTTCTTCTTCTTCTTCTTCTTCTTCTTCTTCTTCTTCTTCTTCTTCTTCTTCTTCTTCTTCTTCTTCTTCTTCTTCTTCTTCTTCTTCTTCTTCTTCTTCTTCTTCTTCTTCTTCTTCTTCGTTCTTCTTCTTCTTCTTCTTCTTCTTCTTCTTCTTTTCTTCTTCTTCTTCTTTCTTCTTCTTCTTCTTCTTCTTCTTCTTCTTCTTCTTCTTCTTCTTCTTCTTCTTCTTCTTCTTCTTCTTCTTCTTCTTCTTCTTCTTCTTCTTCTTCTTCTTCTTCTTCTTTCTTCTTCTTTGCGTTCATCGGCTGTAAACTCCCGTGGAAGTTCTGGTTCTTTGTCCACCTCCTGACTTTAGTCTGGTTCCAGAACCTGAGTGTTGCTCACAACCGTTTTACAGACCTGACTTATTTTTATACAGATTGTTGGTTTCTTGCCTCTCAGGCATCCAATGTATTCCCTACCAAATAATGTTTCATTATTCTACCAACTGTCCATGGTTCGCCTCCGTATATCATGAACATATTATTATAGCTCTTATGAATTATCTTTCTCTACTCAGTTGACAGAACTTATATGGATATTGTTGTAAACTACTCAGGTCTCTTATAATCATGAAGAAATAAATTGTATGTTTCATTCTGGTGTCTAAAAGCATTCTGGTGTCTAAAAGTATTCTGGTGTCTAAAATCATTCTGGTGTCTAAAAGCATTCTGGTGTCTAAAAGCATTCTGGTGTCTAAAAGTATTCTGGTGTCTAAAAGTATTCTGGTGTCTAAAAGTATTCTGGTGTCTAAAAGCATTCTGGTGTCTAAAAGCATTCTGGTGTCTAAAAGTATTCTGGTGTCTAAAAGTATTCTGGTGTCTAAAAGTATTCTGGTGTCTAAAAGTATTCTGGTGTCTAAAAGCATTCTGGTGTCTAAAAGTATTCTGGTGTCTAAAAGTATTCTGGTGTCTAAAAGTATTCTGGTGTCTACAAGTATTCTGGTGTCTAAAAGTATTCTGGTGTCTAAAAGTATTCTGGTGTCTAAAAGTATTCTGGTGTCTAAAAGTATTCTGGTGTTCAAAAACCAGTTGCGATTTTATTTTCTATTTCAAGTGACAGACAGATCTGAAAAAAAAATAGATACTTGATTTATGGGAAGATATCACAACATCAATTGTAAACATCACTTGATATTAACGTTGCTTAACTCTTTCTGTCCCCCAGAGGGATTTTACGTCAACTTGCTTTACCGTAATTAAGTTGCCGTTTCAACTAACAACTCCGTGAATCTGAAGTAGATTAAACTATTACCACTGTGAAGGGGTAGAGCTGAAGGGACAATTGAAGTACAGCGTGTTGGTGCAACATCTCGATGAAATTCAAATGTATCTTATTTTAGAGAAACTAACAAACGCATGGTGAGTTGCTTAGTACTGCATGAGTTAAAGCCATGATAGCTCATTGCAGTCGACAATACGATTAAGCAGATACAGATTTGCATAACACAAGTTACCACACTTCACAAAGGTGCCACAGGGACGGACTTTGAGTTATTACATTAGCAATGGCTCAGTGCGCATAATGAGAGTGCCGGCACTGCTAGAATTAGCAAGCGACAAGCTTAGACTCGGACAACAACGAAGTTGCACTGTGACAATAAGAACTTGCTTGCATGGAGGGTCGACAGACTGATATACCGAAAGGAACAGATTATTAAATCGTAAGATGCGGATTATCGAAATTGGAGCCGACTTTTTGGTTGACCTGTCGTGTGAAAGGATTACATCGTTGATGTCAGGTTATATTCTGTTTAATTATGTAGGAACCGAAGACCCATATGTCGTACACACGTTTAGATAACAACATACTTCCAGGATGTATGTTGCGAGGAAAGACTTGGGTGTATAAAGCGAGAACCGCAACTTTTTAGAATTTGATGTTGAACATTCGATCATGGCTTTTGTTGGTATCTTTCCGTCTTTCCAGCGGATTGTATTGTACTGTGCTATGGTGAGGCATGAGAAGACTCACATCACATGACGATGGAGAGCGTGATTAGCAAGATCTGCCTGCGTTGAGAGAAGTCTTCCAAAATTAAACCATGGAATTTCACTGCCGCTGTTGTGATTACTGTATTTAGTATGTTTCTTTACAGACGCTCATCCCATCCCCTAGCAACCTACAGTTCACTATAGACGATGTCCTTAGGGACTCTACCATCCTACGTTATCCATGTGTGATTCAGCCACCTGAGCCTTCGAAGACTTATCACTGAGAAAACGTTTGTAATACCTGCTCTTTCCAATACCTTAGCGTTAGTGATCATGTCTTGCCACTTAATAGCAGTTATTCTTCTTAGGATTGCACGTGAAAACTAATTTGACGTTATCCTTGTGCGAATAAGTTGACGGTTTTACTTCCATAAGGAAGTATGCTGAGAACACACGCCTGATAGACAGGAGTTGTCATGAAATTATAGTGTGAACACTTGTTCATAGTATGAACGTTTGATTAATAGGATGAGCATAGTATATGGTGCTCATGGAATAAAACATTTGAATAATAGTATGCTTTGCACTAAATGTGATCTCCAAGGAGACCAAAAAGACAATCTATCAGTGCTTCACCTATACCCACATATGGTATCTTTCACGGAAAGGTGGTTAAGCGGCGCCCTTCTGATTCTGAAGGTCGTGAGTTCACGTTCCGGGATTCTAATATGATGAAGCAGGCTAGATCGCGCTGTCGTTGCTCTCAAGTCATCAGCACATGGCTGTGACCAATAAGACACATTGAAACCCGTTTGCGTTTTGCCCTTCCTTTCCTTCTTCCTTGTGAGAGTCGGAATTTATCCCTCTGCTTAAGAAGGGACACATGAGGTTTGCTGAAATCAGATGGGTTGGACAGAAAGGGGCAAATATGACAGCGTAGCTGTAATTAACAACATATTCCACGTCTCCTTCTAGGAATAACTGCAAAAAGAGGAGGAGGAAGAAGAAGAAGAAGAAGAAGAAAAAGAATATGATGATGATGATGATGATAATGATAATGAAGAAGAAGAAGAAGAAGAAGAAGAAGAAGAAGAAGAAGAAGAAGAAGAAGAAGAAGAAGAAGAAGAAGAAGAAGAAGAAGAAGAAGAAGAAGAAGAAGAAGAAGAAGAAGAAGAAGAAGAAGAAGAAGAAGAAGAAAAGAAGAAAGAAGAAGAAGAAGAAGAGAGAAAGAAGAGAAGAAGAAGAAGAAGAAGAAGAAGAAGAAGAAGAAGAAGAAGAAGAAGAAGAAGAAGAAGAAGAAGAAGAAGAAGAGAGGAGAGGGGGGGCAGATGGGGGAGGAGAGAAAGAAACACAAGAAGAATGATAATGACGATGACACATCGAATACAGTACCTCATCTTCGCCATATGTAAAGTTTGCGTAGAGGTTCTTGGCCCTCTCCTTGACATCTCTGGAGAAGTCCATGTATGTTTTATTGGTAGGCTTTCTCAAGGTTACAGTCATCAAAGCTTCGTAGGCTTTCTTGGCTTTCTCGTTTCTTTCTTCGGTGTCAGAGGCGTTGTACCAAGGGCGCTCGCTGGAGTTTTTACTGTAGACGATAGGGGAGAAAAGTGGCATAATTTATAAAATCCCGCTGTCTATATTCGAAATAAAATATTTACTCAGACAAGAGAAGCAATTTTCGTCAAAAGTTGAAAAAATTTTCAACGTTAAACGTGTTGGTTTTATAACAGGTGAGACTGGCCACGGGTTAAGACCGCTT